GGTCTAACGTACGTCTTACCCAAGGGATGGTCTTTTCAATTATCTCATATGTATTCAAAAACTGGACATTGACTACAGAAAGCTGAAGAATCGGTCGATGCATTTGCATTATGGTGCTAGCGAAGGATATTCCAAGGATCATGGCCTGCCACAAGAACAAGCACATCCGGTAAGATAAATGGTCAGAGACAAGGAAGTCCCTCCGCAAGAGGGACTGATACCGTGGCTGCAATTGTGGACAGAGGTGCTCTTACCTCCTGCTTCATGACATTAATTAATGGGGGTATCCGGGAGGAAAGACCCCAGGACCCTTCCCAAGCTTAGGGACTATCTACAACCTCATTCCTCTTCTCCTTTTACATCTCTGGGAGACGTTCCACGCACCCACAACTCCTCCGGAATTGTGCTCCATCGCGTATGTGTGGCCTTTCAGCCCTACATGCTTGAAGTCTCGATCTGATAGCTCCTTCTCCACAAACTACAACCCACCACCCCTTCTCCTGGGTGATTTTGAAATCTGCCCTTGGCCCTCGATTCCTTCTGAGAGTCACTTCATCTATCCTGCTTTCTCTCGAACTAGGAAACCACCCCCCCACCACCCACCACCCCCGTCCCCACTTCATTTCCCATTCGTTCCTCAGTACACTGCCGCCCTGTCTTGCTCCCTACCATCCCACTGAAACTGCTCTGGCGAAGGTCTCCAAGCGTGTGAAGTCATGGACAAAGTCTCAGCATTCATCATACTCAGCCTCTTACAAGTTGTCCATCTTGCCCACCATCCGTCCATCTTGGACGTCTCTCTCCCACAGTCTTCAGTGACACCGGAAAAGATCCTGGATCTCCCGCTGCCTCCTGGCATTTCTCTCCTTTCTCCTTTGCTGGATCGCCTTGGCTCTGCCTGCTCTTCACATTTTAGTTTACTCACAAAAGCTAGATTGTGCACCATCAGAGCAGAAACCTTGCCTGTCTTGTTAACTACTCTAGCCTCAATGCCCAAAACAGCTTCATTCACACGTCAGGCCTTCTTTGAGCACTCTGGATGACTGTGGTGGAGAATACTGTGGTGAGAAAGGCTCTGTGTCTACCGACCCTCAAACAGCTTGCATTCCAGTGAGGATTATAAATAAGAAAATAGAAAATGGCCATAGAGTGGGGTCTTGTGTTAGTCTGGGTAGACTAGAGAAACAAATTCATAAACAGGCATATGTGTATAAGAAAGAGCTTTATATACAGGAGCAACTGAATATTGAGAAAACATCCCAGCCCAGTCCAGATCAAGTCCATAAGTCTGATATTATCCCATATGTCCAATACCAGTCTATAAAGTCCTCTTCAGACTCACGAAACACATGCAATGATGCTGAATGCAGGAAGACCACAGGCCAGTGGGTGCAAAGTCTTGTGGGTCCAGTGGCGATAAAAGCATCTCAGTACTGGCAGGAGTCTCCATGTGGTTCCTTCAGCTCTGAAACTCTGACTGCCATCAGCCTGTTTCCATGTGTCTTCTCAGCTGCAATGTCTCCCAGGGAATGAGCAGAGAGTGGCTGTCTCCCACCTCCAAGGAGGAAATACAGGAGTTCCCAGAATCCTCAGGGAAGGTCATGCCCACACAGAGGCCTGATTAACAGGCTAGACTCCACCCCTTCACTCTGAATCCTCTCAAATTGACAACAGATTATATAACTACCACAGATCTTATGTTCCACAGCTTCTCCCATGCATTTACCCTCAACCCTTCCCCTAAAAACCAGTAATACTGAACCGCCTGTAAGGACTGAGCATGTAGATCATGCTTCATCCCTCCTTCCTTATACAAACTGTCATGCAAGTCTTCCTTTGAAGACACTGCGTTAAGTTCTAAGCATTTTACACGAATTAATTTAATCCTTACAACACCCAACAGAGTATTCCTATGGTCCCTGTTGCAGACTATAGGACACTGTTATAGATGAGGGCACTGAGGGGAAAATTAGATAAACAATTTGCTCAAGCTCAAACAGGTCATATGTTGGAGCACTAGGATTTGAACCCTCTATCTAGTTCCCAGGTCTGTGCCCACAAGCACTGCGCTATAGCTACTTCACCTTGCCTCACCACCATGCCTATCCATGTGGTACATTCTCATTGCACCTGTCATTACCAGCCCAAGCACCACTTTCTGCAGGACGTTTCCCCTGCTCCCACACAGCTAACCACTCACTTCCTTCCTGGCATTGGCACTGTACCATGCACACACCCCTGTGACTATGTCTGTCATACCAGTATGTCCATATAAGGACCGATCTAGCCCGGTGCCAGGCTCAGATTACACATGAGAGTTACACCAGACTGTGGAAGTTCTCCTAGTGTTTCCTGAATGGCCCTTTTACTCATCTGTTACCTTAGTTTTGCCCCTTGCCATCAATTTATCGGCCTTCATTCATTCTCAATGCCTTACCTGCCTGGGCCCTTCAATTTGACTCCTTGTTTACCTACTTTTATGCCAAATCTACCTTTGCCTGCTACTTTACTGATCATGTCGTCACTAAACCCTGTCAAGATGCCCCTGATGAGTTGCCACCATCGGCAGTCCTAAGTGAGTGTGGTGGATCCCCCAACCTGACTCTAGGTTATTTATACTTATAATTATTTGGTTCAATTCTTTGGTTTTACTTGAGCTGACTAAGGGAGTGGAGGGGTTATTATAATAATGAATGTCTTACAGAAGCACAGAAAAAACAAACAACCAGGTTCAGGAAGAGAAAGAACAGGAGTAGAGGTAGACTGGAGGCTACTCACTCTCAACGCTCCACCGTTTACACAACTTAGTAAATATCTCTTCTTTTTCTCTAGGTAACACCGGTGTTAGTTCCCCTCTATTTTGTGCATTCTTCCCAGGCTTCATTGTTTCCCCTCGCTCACGGTGTCTAGCTCCTGCTTCCTTTTTATTCGCCACGCCCCTATGGCTTCTCTCAATGCAAGCACTCAGCTGCAGCTCTGCTGACTGCCTAATTCTCCATGGGGCTCTAACCTCTATTTTCCCAGAATGAGAAGCTGATTGGCCCTAGATCATCCCTGAGCCACCTACCATGCGCCCTGGTGGTGTCATAGATTATGAATTGAACTGCAAACTGCAAGTTTAGCAGTTCAAACCCACCAGCTGCTTAGCAGACGGGAGATTTACAGCTTTGGAAACCCTATGGGGTAGTTATACACTGTCCTGTAGGCTTGTTCTGAGGGGGAAATATTTCATTGGCAGTGGGTTTGGTTTTTCAGCGCCAAACTAACATCATTCTAATCAGCTGCAACACTGGGCACCGTGTTCAATCACACAACATGTGGACACTTCGAACATAAATGAGGCATTTTTCCCTTAAAAGGGACTGGCATGGAAGGCTCATGATTGGATTATGGATTCATTTAGGCTAGTGACTTTAAAATATCTTTAACAGAGATTTTCCAAGAATCGTATAAAGGCAATGGCTCTTTCCCCCAGGTCAGGGAGGAAAAAAATCCACCTATGTAGAAATTTCCCCATAGGATGCGGGGAGGGGGGGTATTCATGGACCACAGGAGTCACGTGGGCCATCCCAACCTCCACGACCACCACCATAAATCTAGGGTCTATCTACTGACCTCCTCAAAGGTGGCTATATTACCTTCCTTTTCATATCTCGAACGCCTTGCCCTGGAAGGGGCTAAAATAATATGCGTTGATGAATATGTCACAGAATCAAATAATTTATTTAACTAGCTAAAGTTAACAGTTGTTCAGCGTCAGAGGGGGCTCTAAGAAGTTCAGTTCTGCTATACAAAGGTATTGGGGAGCAGTGTTGATTGTTTCTGTTGCTTGCGTTCACCAGGCAAGTGAACAAAGCTGTACTTTTAGAGCAATGTGTTTTTAATAGTCTTGTAAACAGCTGTGAGAGTGACAGGCCTCTTAGAGAATTCAAGGAAAGAGGTACTGAAGACCTCGTCCAGGAGCGCGGAAGCCGGTGTAGAACTAAAAGGGGCAGATCTAAGAGATGGTGTAAAACTAACACTGACTAGGGCTTGGCTTTTGGAAAGACCTGCAAGATTAAAAATAAATTGAGTCAAAATATGACCTCGGCATGCTCTACTCCGGAGTGTGGAAGGAAAACAGTATCATTAGCAGAAAGAGAAAGCTGGACTGAAACCAGTTTAGGGGAAATATGGGCCTGGAGTGGCTGCAAGTAGAATGGATGTGGCATTATGTGCTGAGTCCAGGAGCCCTGGGGTGCATTATCTCATATCGAACCCACTCCACGGTTTCGAAGCTCTCACACAGTGATTCATTCATCTGACCGTGAAAACAAGCCTGTAAAGTAGAAAAGGCAGCGTGACCCGCTCTTACAGATAAGAAATAGAAGTGTTGAGTGAAGAACTGATCCGGAACTAGAATCCAGAGGCTCTGGCTCCTAATTCCGATTCCGAGTCCTAAGAGAGGGAGGAGTCTTCTTTCCAAACTCCATCGCAAAGAGAACACAGATAAATGCCTTGCTACCATGGGCCAGTTTTTAATTGCAGTAGTATTTTACTATCAATTTAGAAAGGAAGTAATTGAGAAAAGGGTGTTCTGCTAAATGATAATTAGCACGGTTGATTAAATGCCTTCAGCGTGGAGGAATAGTCAGTTGTATTGAAGTTCAACTTCACAACTTATGAGTGTTGAACAACACCCTGATTCTCTTTTTCAAGAGGGAACTTCCGCTTAACTAACTTCCAGAACGAGCTCATAAGAAAAAAGAAAAAAAAACAAACCCACGGACTTGGACAGATAAAGTTTCCCAAAGACGATCCGCTAACAAAACGTTGCATTCCCCAAACTCAAACTCGTAAGAGTTTACGGGGCCCCAAAACTCAACATTGCACAAGTTTACAGGAAGAGGGAAAAAAATCGGTGGAGGCTTAGGAAAGACCATGGGTTTTGATCAGTTTTAAGGTGAGGCTGTGTGTTTAGCCAAAAAAAGCCAAAGCGATGACAAGTCCGGATCCGTGAGCACAGCGTGGGCCAACCAGAGGCGAGGGCAGGGGCGAGGCTGGAGCCAGGCGGGGAGGGAAGGGCGTCGCCCCAGAGGCCGCAGCACTGCAGGACCGCGCGCCCCACGCTTTCCTCTCTGCTCCGAGTCCGCGCCGGCGCGTCTGTTCCACTCCAACATGGTAAGCCAAACCTTTCTGTGTTCGTCCCCTGAAAGAGAAAAGCGGCACATACTTTCCAGCAGGCTTGGTCTGCGACGTCTCCGTGGACGTGGCAGGAAGCCGCAGACAGAGGATGGAGAATTGGGGACGAGGGGATGGGAAGCAGCAGGCTGGCGTTTCCCCTGGAAGAACGGCCTGAGGGGGTGGGGGTGTGGGTGGGGAGCCGCTCTCGGGTTGGGCGAGCGGACGCTGGGGACAGGGC